GATGGGGAGACTCCAATTCGATTAAAAATAAATACAAGGAAGAAAATAGGGAGCATAAGGGGGGGGTGTCAGGGACTTAGGGATATCCCTCTCTGTGTTCAGAGCCCTTACGTACAGAGTCATTTAGACCCATACCCCCCAAAATTACTCGCCTCCAAACGGCGCCCAGCACGCACTGACAACTCCCTCTAGCGTGCGGCTCAGGCGGGATCTCGCTGCGCGCAGGTTCCGTCCTCTGCCTGGCCCTTCTTTTCATCACCTACATTCTTTCCCGCTGGCATTAATTTCTCCTTTGCTGTTTTTTTTTCCCCCTCTCTCTTTTCTCTTGCCCTGCGTCTCCATTCCTTCCCTCATTTTATCCCTTGCCTAGCACTGCTCTCACAGCCACGTTATTTCCCAGCCCTCCGCCCAGCGTCTGCCCTTCTTCATCTCTACCTGCCGCGGCTTCCAATCCCCAATCCTCCGCGTTGCGGTCTGAGGGCCATCATTCTCCCGCGACTCCGGGAACGTGCCCCTCCACCCTGCCTGCTTCCTTCGCAAGTCCTGGGCCGCGGACCTTGACTAATGGCCGGTCCCTGCTGTGTGTGGGGTGTTGTGTTTTTTTCTTGTCTCTCCCCAGCAGGGCACGGGGGTGTGAACCAGCTCGGGGGTGTGTTTGTGAACGGCCGGCCCCTGCCCGATGTGGTGAGGCAGCGCATCGTGGAGCTGGCCCACCAGGGTGTGAGGCCCTGCGACATCTCCCGGCAGCTACGGGTCAGCCATGGCTGTGTCAGCAAGATCCTGGGCAGGTGAGGGCCTCGGAGCTGCCCTTGGGAGACACTCTGCCTCTTTCTCCTGCCGGCCCTGGGTCCCCGAGGACTTGACTAAAAGTCGAGGACGCCAGCGGGAGAGGGAGATGCCAGACTCCGGGGTATCTGGAGAGCTGCTCCTTTTGGAGAGGGCGCTCAGGTGGTGGCGGCTGCCTTAGGAGCGAGGGTGGAGCAGGGTCATCCAGCGCCTGCCCAGCCCCCGGGGCCCCGAGGGGAGGCAGCCTGATTCTCGACTTCAGAAAAGGAGGAACGCTTCTTCTAGCAGAATTAATTCGGACTGGGGGATTGGAAGAATAGTATGAGGGGCAAAACCGGGTCCCCAAGAGGAGAAAAATCAGCATTGGGGAGGCGCAAGGAGGGTCTTCGTTCCTACCAGGGCTCTGCGCTCAGTGGGAAAGGGCTGGAGGTGATGCCTCAGTTCTGGTTAGCCTAGAGGCCTGAAAACGCTGTTCCTCCTGTTCTTCTTAAATGAAAGGTCGGGCTTTCACTCCTAGGGGCGCCTATTCCGACTGGCATGCTCGGCAGCCCCTGGCATGGCTGTCTCCCTGGAGGGAGTGCCCTCCTTGTCCTCCCCCTCATGCTCCACTGGGTCCCTTGTCCTAGCCAAGCGCACTCTGGAAGCCAGCTCAGCCACGCTGGACCTGTTCCTTCCCCCGTGGCTGCCTCAGCGGCCCCAGAGCCTGCATCTCCCCTGTCCCTGCCACTGCTACTTCTCGCTGACTCCGGCCGGCCTTCCCCGGCGCAGGTACTACGAGACTGGCAGCATCAAGCCGGGAGTGATTGGCGGCTCCAAGCCCAAAGTAGCCACGCCCAAAGTGGTGGACAAGATTGCTGAATACAAGCGACAGAACCCAACTATGTTCGCCTGGGAGATCCGGGACCGGCTCCTGGCTGAGGGCATCTGTGACAATGACACAGTGCCCAGCGTCTCTTCTATCAACAGGTGAGCAAGGCACCCTGGGCTTGCAGGACAGGATCCCAGCTCCCAGCTCCTGTCCACTAGAGCACCCCAGCACGTTATCATGAGATCCTGGTTCTTTCTCCAGCCTCTCTCCTTCCTCCCCACTCCCAGGCCCAAAGTCTTTTGGGCAGAGATAGGGGACCTGGGAGGCAGATAGACAGGCAGACAGGGCTGTCTACAACTTAGGGCTGGGTATTCCCTGCCAGGCTTCTCTCGCCGGCATCCTGGAAATGAATCCAAGTGTTTGTGGTAATTAAGACTCCAAGATTACACACCTCCGTATCTAGAGACAATCACAACCCACAGCCGAAGCCTTTAAAATGACCAGTGTCTATTCATCGCCTCCAAACAGACTTCCTTTTCTAAAGGCGTGCTCCTTTCCCCAGGGGCAGCCGCCTATCCTGGCTCGCCCACCCTCCCTGCCAACTCTCACAAAGCTTGCCTCCCCGGAGCCCAGGCCTTGCTAACCAGCTTTGCACAAATTTCCGGCCTACAAGCAGGAGTATCCAGGCCTGCAGAGCAAATGCCAACCACCAGCCAGCAATTGGCAGGGACTAGAGGAGCTGGACAAGAAGAAGGATGCCAGGCAGTGAGGGAGAACTCTGAATTCTGAGGCTGAACCTTAGGAGATGCCTCTAACCATCTGGGGTGCCTATGTCCAGGCCTAAGGGTGCACCAATGACAGGCTCAGGCACAGGTTGAGGATGGGGATGACAAGGCTGAAGTCAGCTTGACATACAGTAGCAGGAGATAGTCTCCCAACCCCCAAGCACTCCAGCATGCCCCCTGAGAGAACACACGTACACACTCCATGTATGTACACCCGACCAGTGTGCAAATGTGTCTATCTGTGGTACGTACAGCACACATAAGCAGCGATTGGATGCAGGAACCCTGGATAGCTTCAGCATCATAGAACTGTGTAACCTGACATTAATAGAGACCATGTACAAGTTCCAGGTAACCTTGGCCAGCCTTTCAACCCCTGCCCCCCATTTTAAGGCAAATTCCCAAATGAGATGAGGAGTAAGGGTTTCGTACCCTGTTATTCTTTGCACACTTCATAGGCTTGTTATCAGGACAACTAATAATTCAGATGGTGCCTTTTTCTGAAACTGGCATCACGTATCAAGGCTTTTTTTTTTAATACTTTGCAAATGATATGGAATTATCCCAAATCATCCTGAAAACAGCAGGTAAAATTAGCTGGTAGAATGTACCTTGGCTAAAGAAGATTCCCTCTGCCATACTCATGCTGTAACGTACTGCGAGGCGACCCCAGAAATTATCCCTATGTGTGCCATCTGTATTAAAATGGTTATTCAGTTATGAACAGGGTAACATAATACTGATCAGCTAATTATACACCCTCCGAAAACCCTCCAGCTCTCTGGGCCTGGCTCAGCTAGGTATTGAAAGCATAGCAGTTTGACATTCAGACACCTTCCAAAGGAGCTGGAGAAAGATACTGGGTGTTTTGGGAGAGGAATGAGAATTTTGCATTTAAAAGCCAGAGGAGGAGGCTGGGGAAGCTTTGGGAGCCGGGGCAAGAGTGGTGGTTAAGGAAGGAAAGGAAACAAAACATGGTTTCCTGAGCCTTCAGGAGATTTAGCCTCTTGGCTGGTTGCTGGTGCTTGGGAGTGATTTAGAACTGAAGTCTTGGGAGAGCAGCTCTCCTGAGGAGCAGTGGTGCTGAGAGTAGGTGCTGGTGTTCTAGAGAACATTCGAGTGAAATGCTGTTGTCGGTGATTGGATTTGCTTTGGAGGAACCCAAGACATGTATGGTTAAGGCATTTTGCTTCTCTTGATGGGTGGATGATCAGAGTAATCAAGGCAGGTCCACGGTGGCAGCACCCCTTGTCCAGCCCCCTGTCTAGCACTCTTTGCCCCTCTCCTCCCAACACATACCCCTCACTGGCTGAAATGGTTTTGAAAGCTGGCTTAGGTAAAAGTTTGGGGATGCTCTCATCTGGAAAAGCTATGGAGAACAGGGGACAGGTGACCCTAGGATCAACCTCCAGAGGCTTTGAGGTGTTTCTATCAGAATTGGGAGAAAGTAGAGACGTGAGTCTTGGGTGGAATGAGAGAGTGGGAGAAAGAACAGCCTCAGCTCGACAGCTCTGACAGCTGCAGAATCTGCTCAGTGTGGATCCCTATCACCTGAGTGGCATAGACTCTTCCTTTGGGTATGGAAAAATAGCCACCTGTGGGCAGGCGTTGCTGTAGATG